TCTCTAGGTGTTCTGATGTGAGACAATTTTCAAGTTTTCTTCAACTTTTATACACCAATCGATAGAGAATTTTAAGCTGATCATTTTTTTCTCTTGAAGTTTTTCTCTAGCTTCTCTGCGTCTCGAGATATAGGCGAAAGAAACCGCGCGCAAGAGGGGGAGACGCAGACAGCGCGGAGGTCTCGCCGTCTGCGTCTCGCGCCCAACTTTAAACTAATATATCTCGAGACGCAGAGAAGCTAGAGAAAAACTTCAAGAGACAAAAATGATCAGCTTGAAATTCTCTATCGACTGGTGTTTAAAAGTTGAAGAAAACCCAAAAATTGATAGACATCCGAACACCTAGAGACACAGACAGACATACCTATAAATAACGGTCCCTTCTGGCTCATAGATCATTTCGATGCGCAAGAATTGTTCGATTCCCGTATAGATCATCAGCAAGCAATCATAAGCACGTGTCGAGAAACGGACACGTGGAATGTAGAGTTCCGTCGCGTCGACAATAGCACGATCCAAACGACAAGTGCTTCTCATCGAGACTCTGGAAGAAGGGGACTACAAATACTACAAACTACAAGCGAAGACGCAGACTACGAAAGTGTCTAGACGTCTGCGTGTCACAAATCGGGAAGGAGAGAGACGCAGACAGCGAGAGTGTCTAAACGTCTGCGTCTCTTATAAGGGAGGAAAGACTAAAAGCTACCTGCTCATGAAGTCCAACTTCTTGATGACCTCTTGCTTCGTCTCCTTCGGTAAATCATTCCAGCCGCGCATCTTCTTTTTTGTCGACAAAATTTTGTCGGAAAAAGTGTTTTTGGAGAGGAAATGAATGAGAAAATGAATTGATTTTCGTTGTTTCGTTTCGTGCCACGTAGCTGTACGAGTTTACTTCGGAATTGGGGCAAGTGACGTGGCAATTATTTATTTTTTTTCGATTTCGCTTCGAGAGACCCAGACAGTTAGACATTCTCGATGTCTGCGTCTCTCCCCTTCCTGTTTTGTGAGACGCAGACGTCTAGACACACTGTGTGTCTGCGTCTCTCCCACTCCCGTTTTGTGAGAGAGAAAGAGGGATTTCCTGAAGGCAGGCCCAACAGAAAAAAATCGATATGCGTTGGCGACACCCACCTCTCACTGCCTAGCTGGTGGATGAAGAGTTTTTGAGCCCCAAATCTCTCCAAAATGACAAAAAACAATCCAAAACGAAAAAACAAAAAGAAAACCACCACCTGGGTTCGAACCCGGGTGGGCAAAAGATCGGTGGCCGGCAGCGTTAACCACTGCGCCATCAACGCGTCAAAACGAGGGGGGGGGGCGTAGAGAGGGGCGTAGAGAAGAGAGGGGGAGGCGCCCGTGACCTCTTGCCACGTGAACCAAAAGGAATAAAAACGTGAATGCCCCAATTTGCAGTCTTTTCCACGTCATCCACCGCCACGTGGCACTTTTTTTCGTCATTTGTCATCAAAATCAATTCTATTTCTTTCTGAATTCTTCCTATTCTTCCCTAAATACGAAGAAGAAGATGGTTGGCTGGAACGATTTACCGGTGAAGAGCAAGAAGGAGGTGGTGAAGCGTCTGGATTTTATGAGCAGGTACTTTTTTTGGCCTAAAAATTCCAAATAAACGCTATCAAAAAATTATCAACTAGTGAATTGCTCAGAATAAAATTTCTCGCATTTCTCTAGCCTCTGAAATTCCAGATGCTCCATGAGAAGCACCTGTCGTGCGGATCGTAAAATCGTCGACTCCACCGAATTGTACATTCCACGTCTTCGTGTCTCATTCTTGGAGGGCTTCACGCAGGCGACAATCTACACTGGCATCGGACATTTCTTGAAGGTGGAATTTAAAGATAAGAAAGAAGAGGAGAGAGCGGCGTATGTGTACAGGTGAGTAGAAAGACTACAAACTACAAAGGAAAAAAAAAACAAAAAAATCATGCTTTGGTGGGGGTCGAACCAGGGACCCCGGATTGATAGTCATCCGCGCAACCGGCTTCGCCAAAAAGGCAACGAAACGAGGAAGGTGGTAGGGAGATGACAAGAGAGAGAGGGAGGGAGAGTGAGAGAGAGAGAGAGAGAGAGAGAGAGAGAGAGAGAGAGACAACAAACTACAAAAACTATAAACTACATATTTCCAGAATGGAGAACGAGGTCAAAATCACCAACACCACTGCTGCCAGACGTATCAAAGGAATCAGGGCCTCCCGACTCTTCGGCGTCTTCCTCCGTCACCAATTCATCCGTCCAAACGTTCTCATCGGAACTTTGGAATTCGAATTCCATCCAACGGATCACACCACCCAAACCTTCTGCATCTGCCTCCTAATGCGTTCTTTCGGAGTAGGAAAAGTGTTCCGCGCCAAAAAATTGACCACCAATTGTCTTACGAAAAAGTTGACGGATATCTATTTGTACAACAATCTCATCGACAAGACTATTTTGGAGGGAATGTCTAATGATGGAGTTAACCTCTCCGCGAATGCCGTTCATCCCCAAAAGTATATCGACACCACTGTTTTTCCTGATCCGAAATTGGATGTTTTCAAGGGGACCGGTACTATCGATATGGAACCGATTCAAAAATTCGTCAATGTTCCACATTGTAAGTTAGAAGTGAGAGGGGAAAAGAAAAAAAAAGAAAAAAAAAAGAAAAAAAAGAAATTGGCCTAGGTGGGGGTCGAACCAAGAACCGTCAGATCAACTGACAAGCGCACTACCAGCTGGGCCATTCGTGCGCCGAGGCGCCAAGGGTTGTAGGGTATAGAGAAGAGAGAGGGAGGAGGGGGATCACGAGAAGGGCGCAGACTACAAACTACAAAAAACCACATTCCAGGCGAATCCTGCATCTACACGACCGAATACCGATGGAATGCACCAGACGCCGTGAAAACGAGAGCTGAGGAAACGGAAGGATTCGTCACTTGCCGGTTTGGAGAGAACAACTTTCGTCTATGGGAACATCAGCACCTTCCAGTTGTACAGTGAGTGCCCCTTGGAACTACAGTACCCCCTGGATTACTGTACATTTTAGGCTCAATGAGCACGTCCAAATGAAGCGAATCGCCGCGCCTGTGCTTGGTACCGTTTACCGTTGGAACAAGTCAAAGTGCGGAGAATGGATGCATGCGATGAAAATTGAGAATGAGCACAAGTTTGACGAGTTTTTCAAGGTATGTGCGCTTGAAAGAGACGCAGACACCGAGAGTGTCTAGCCGTCTGCGTCTCACATTTTTCTTTTCCAGAACGAAAAATGCGGACTCCTCTGGCTCTGCAAGTCGTGCACCGATCCATTCGACTACTGGTACTACCGCAATCTCCCGAAACGCGTTCTCGACGAGAAACCAACCTACATCGTTATCAACTACACTAAGGAAGGAGAAATAGGCGATATGATTCGAGAGGAGGTGAAACTTTATCAGGAGAAGTACAAGGACGAGAAAATTAAGAAGAGCAAGGGCAAGGCATCGTGGGGATTCAAAAAGCGAGAGGTAAGTGTGCTACAATGAGTTTATCTCGGTTATCAATGGAGATAGAGGAAAATTGTCTACTGCAAAGTTGTAGAGCTTGAAATTTTAAGCAAGTTTGTAGTTGACAACTTTTTTCTAGCTGTTATGAGCAGGGAGATATAGTGTGCCAAAGTGAGAGAAGGAGAGACGCAGAGAAGCGTGGGCAGTTTGCTTGTCTGCGTCTCCTCCCTTTCTCAACCGAGATACTCAACAATTACAGGGTCGCATTCGCACCTCCAACGTTCGTTTCCGTCATCCGGTCGATTTTGAGGACGGTGAATTGTTGGAAAAGAAGGGAGCAGCGATGGGTTTCGAGCGTGATGCCAATTTTGTCATCAAAACTTTCTGGTGTGTGAAACCGAAAGACATGGAACCCGTACGTTTTATAGTTTGTAGTTTGTAGTTTGTAGTGAACTTTTACAGAATGACGTCATTCTCGGTGCGCCCGTCTTCAACGTGAGTAAAGCCATGAAAGAGAAACCTGGACTTTTCTCCAGAATCAACAAGGCTATGGGCAGTTGGTCACCATTTGGACAAGCTGAGGAGGTAAATTGATGAAAACAAAAAAAAAACAAAATGTTTTTCCACCATGAGGAATTGAACCCGGGTAGCCAAAACATTGGCCGGCAACGCTATCCTCTGCGCCACACGCGACACAAAAGACAGAGGAGGGGAGGGCGTATAGGAAAGAGAGGGGAGGCGGCGGCGGTTCCAAGAGGGGGGGGGGGGGAAGAATCGTAGATCAAAAAAAATTCCGAATTTTCAGGAGGGAGACGTTGTACCACTAAAACCACCTCAAAAGGGGCAGATGACCGTCGAGGAGTACGCCGAATTTCTCAACAATCCGAGGGGAGAAGCTCGTGATTTCAAGTTTAGCCAGGACGAGAAAGGAGAGACGGTCGTTCACTGGGAGACCAAGAAGAACGAGAACGAAGTTATGGAGCCAGCGAATCTCCAGACGTTTTTGCAACTTGCGGCTGAACATGCATATAATATGGAGAAGAAGAATAAGGTAGTAACCACGGGAATTCCTAGGGGAAATATGAATTTTACGGCGTTTTTTTGGAGTTTATATGCCATTTTTTGACTTTCTAGGCCATGTTTTGGACTTTTAGGCCATGCTTTGGGGTTCTTAGGCCATTTCCAAGATTCTAGGCCACTCATTGAGTTCTAGGCCATTTTTCAAATCAATTATTATGTTTTTTTCAGGCCACCGTCATCGAGCTTGACTGAGTTCTGGAGCCCCGATCCGGAGATGAAGCTACAATTTAAAAAGTTTTTTTTTTGGCCATGGACCATTCGTACCCTCATACCATCTCTAATGTATGTTTTATCCATTCGCCACACCTTCCCTGATATGATTTTATGCTTTAAAATCAATAAAATCGATAAAAACATTGCTCAAATAAAATGCAAAAAAGATTTCCACCCCCGGGGAATCGAACCCACGAGGCAAAAAGTCCCGTTGGACAGGCAGCAAGAGCGCTAACCACTGCGCCACATGGGCCCGATTACGACGTGGAGGGGAGGGCGTAGAGAAGAGAGAGAGAGGTGTCCTCGAGACGAGGAAAAGGGAGAAGAGCGATATCCGGACATGTGGACACAAAGACAGATGAACAGTGATTCTTTAGTTTTTTCTTTGTTTATGCATTCAAAATAATGACTCAGAATATCGTTAGCAGGGAACTCCGCCCCTTTTTTCTCTCTGTTTTTTTCAGATTTCTCTGCTTCCTCCTCACTTTGAACACTATCTTTGAACTGTCTGATTTCAGGAAGCTCCGCCCACTTTTCTCATTTCTCTGCGCCTCTCATTTTTCTTTACTATTTTTCTGTCTGAGCCCACTCACTCTCTCGTCGTCTCCCCAGTATCAATATGATCGGTTTGCCATCAGTTTCAGGCCCAAAACGCCCTTAATTTCTATTTTTTTTGATTTCAACATTCAAATTCCAAGAATCACAAAAAAAAAGTTCCAGGGCCATGGCTCTCCGTCTCAAATTACTTTTCGTCTTGGTTCTTGTACTGGTTCTCTGGCCGGTCATTCTGGCCACGCCCCCATGGGAAGCCCCGCCCACCGACTGCTCAATGCCGACTCCAGCTCCTCTGACCACCACAACGGTTGCGCCGCCCACTGTCTCAACTACCTGGGACGCTCCGCCCACAACCCTGAAAGCTTCTCCCACTGTCCCCATCTCGCCCATACTTGTGAAATCGCGGGCCGGCCCGCGG